GTCTTGACCATGTCTACATGCCTAAATGCACTGAGTTGCCGCCATGTGATTGGCTGATTAGAAATTAAGTGTTAACGAGCAGTTGGACAAGTGTACCTAATAAAGTGGCCGGTGAGTGTAGATATGATGTCCATTCCTCTTTAAAATATTTTAAAAACTGTTCATGATTGAGCAATGATGCATTAAATCTCCAATTTATGTTTGTTTTTATTTCTTTCTTATTAACTAAAGTTAAAGAGACTGGTGCATGATCACTGACAGCAATAGGGTGCATCTCACTCTCTGAAATATTGGTCAGCATCTCACTGTCTGAAATATTGGTCAGCAATGAACTGCTGACTAAAAAATAGTCCAGGTGAGAATAAGAGTGATGAACATGTGAGAAGAACCTATATTTTTGTTGTCAGGATGAAGAGCACGCCATGCATCGCAAAGTCCATAATCACTCCTATATTGTTTAACTATGTTTGTGGATTGCCAGCTGAGCTGAGCTCCAGAGCCGTATTCATCCTGTCAATGTTATTATTTAGACCAAAGTTGAAATCGCCTCCAAGAAGCAGTGAGCAATCCAGGTGATTTGATAGAACAGAAAAGAAATCATGAAAAAAATTAGGTATCATCCACATTTGGACCATATATGCTTGCAATACAGTATTTTTGGCTAAATAGAGAAAATTTTACTATTATACATCTACCCTTTGGGTCAATAACTATCTAATACTGTGAAGTTGATATTTTTATGTATTAATATTGCTACCCCTCTTTGTCTTGAATTATAACAGGCTGAGAATACATTAGGGAACTCAGGAGATTTAAGATCATCCACAGTTGAATTTAATTTATGTATTTCTTGTAGTAATACAACATCTGCCTTTAATCTTTTAAGCTGGTTAAAAACTCTATATCTTTTCTGTTGCGTACCAGCTCCGTTTAAATTCCATGTGACAAACCTTAAACAACCCATCGCAATATTTGTGAGAATAAAATTAAACCACGCCCGTTATCATAACAGTAGGGATACTCAGGGACAGTCATTGACAGTGGGTGATGATTAGTCAAGATTTTGAGAATACCTATGTAGCATGTAAGATATATAAAAAATGTATGTGATGTGTTTGAAGTTAAATGAAGCATATGTTTTATTAAGTATTTGGATGTATGGAATATGAGCATGTGTGGGTTTGTGCGCTTGTGTACAAGTAATTGTTGTKTTAGAAATAAAGAAAWAARRRAAAAAATRWKRTGRTRRWRARRWGAWAAAAWMMCAAAAAGAACAGAAYAGAACAGAAAAAGAACAGAAAAAAGAACCCACCACAAACACAAAAAGTAGCCACTGTGCTCACCAAATGTGTACCCACCTACCAACTGTGCTTACTTAACATTATAACTGGTGATTAAATGTAGTAATAATAATGATAATAAATCCGAGTTTCACTAACCTTGGCGTTAGATCTAATACAGCCAAGGAGTGATCTCAGGGTCTCTAAACAACTGGCCATTAATATACAGTTTATCTATTGCTATTGTAGCTCTGCAGCCTTCAGCTAAATGCTTTTTTCTGATGGGAAACAAAACACGACGGCGATCGAGGTATACTTTAGAGAACTGATGGTTAACACTGAAGCTAGTACCACGTAGCTCCCTCCCACAGCTAATAACCTGTTCCTTCTGTTTGAAATGCTCAAATTTTGCAACAATAGCCCGTGGTCGTTTGCTGTCGTGTCTCTTACCTCCCATCCGATGTACACGGTCGAAGGTGATGTTGTTTACCATCTCACTGGAGAGTTTCAGCTGGTTCTGAATGAAGCTCCGTACTGTAGCCTCTGGGTCCTCATTAGCTTTCTCTGGGATGCCGGAGAATACGAGGTTGTCCCTCATGCTTCTGGCCTGGATGTCTAAGATGGTTTCCTTCATCTTTTTATTATCTCCAGACAGCTGTGACATCCCCTCAGTGAGTTGAGACAATTTTGCTTTCAACTCAGTGTTTTCGCTAACTAGTGTAGCTACTTGCTCCTGACTAAACTCCAGGGATACCTTCAGAGCCTGGAATTCCTTATGCAGCACCTCCACTAAAGCTAGCCGATTATCTAAACCGCTTAGCTTTTGATCGATAGACTCCAGTATGTCCTTAAAACCTGTTGTTTCTGGAGAAATATTTGAAATATCGTCAGAGCTTGCCGAGCGATTCCTCTTTGATGTTGGCATGCTAACTGACATGCTAGCTGCGCTGCCAGAGGTATGTTTCGGTTTGCCCATGACTATTTTTTCAAAAACACTCATCGATTAAAAACTCCAGACTCTCCACAGTTTCTCCGTCCAGTTTGTTATAATGAAAAGCCAATTAATAAAAGTTATGACGTTGTAGATTATAAATACCTTAAACGTATTAAATTTATATAGTATATTTACCTGAGAACCAAGCTTACCAGTACATTATCCCTTAGTTCAGAGGTTCCCAAACTTTTTATCTTCTGGCCCACAAAATATTCTTGGTAAAAACTTGTGACCCCAAATATTGCTGAGTACATGAACTTTGTTAATAACCCTAAAAACAAAGGCTACACAAATATGAATACTTACTTATACTGTACTTATTTTGTGTTTTTTGTAATAATTACAGCGAAAATATTACATCACCAATTATTTTATTACCCTTTAAATAGATTTCTGAAGTGCAGTGGTTGTAAAATTTTTCAGCTTTTGACCCACAAAATAACAGTAGCAGAGACCTGTGTCCACAACTATTTTTGGATGATAAACATTTGTATCAGGTCAGCTAAACATGGGCATAGTAACAATATTTATTCTGCATTTATACATTTTAGGCAACTAAGGCAAAAATGTAATTAATATGGAAAATCTTTTCAGGACCCCACCTTGATGTTTCAGGACCCCACTTAGATTCCCGACCCCAACTTTGGGAACCACTGCCTTAGATGATTAAGCTCGTTGAGAACTCAGCAGCTCAGCAGCTCATGCAGCTCAGCAGCTCAATACCACCTCATCCTAGTGCAAACATTTTGTCGAAAAATGCAATTTTTTTCGAAATTGACGTGTTTCCATTGAGCAAATTCTAATTTGCGCATTTTCATGGTCAATGGAAATGCAGCTAATGATCCTAGGAGCTATGTTGTCCAGAGCTTCATTCACCCAGTAGGGTGACCCAAGGCAAACAGGTCCTAGGTGAGGGATCAGACAAAGTGCAGCCCAAAGACCCCTATGAAGAGTGCAACAGATGGACTGAACTCAGTGTTCCCTTTGACTAAAACAGTCACATCTTCCTAGTTTCCTTACAGACAATGACCTTGGTCTAAAACTCTGCAGGTGATAGGGATTTACTGAATTAATGTTGGACTCATGCAAACGTACCTGCATTGATTTGGTTGTATGTTGGTTAACTTGGGAAATTTTATAATCCTGGATCATTTTATTCGAAATATTTGGTCTTTGATGGCACAGTGGCTCAGTTGGTAGAGCTGATGCCTCTCAGCAAGAAAGTTGTTGGATCAAATCCTGGCCTGGAGATCTTTCTGGGTAGACTCTGCATGTTGCGTGGGCTTTCTCTGGGTACTCTGTACCCACCGTCGATAAGTGTTAGAGCAGGGAATCAGGAAAAGTTAGAAGACTGCAAGGCGCCAGCAGCCATATCCAACGAGATTAGTGCTTCTGCATAGTTGAATAAACAACATATCATGATGACCTGCTTATTCTCTACTGAGAACTCTGAAATCAACTGAAAAAAATGAATCAGTGTTATATTGAGCAGAAACCTTGTTTCAACTTAAACATTTTATGATGATTACTTCAAACATGTATACATTTCGCTTTTGTAATCACACTCCCATTTGTTAGTTTAGTTAAAGGAAAGATTTTCTCAAGAAAAATCCACAATTATATTACTGTGTTTAAAGTAAAATAAAAACAGTGATTTGCATCAAACACAATAAAACATTGTAATCACATTCTCTGTAATACTTATAAATCTTAAGGCACAATGATGGAAAAGAAGTTGTACTTCTGCCATGTGACTGTGATAAGCATTATCTCTGACTAACAGATGCATAAACATTCTTAGTTAAATGACAAATGAATCACAAATAATGAAGATTATTCTGTTTATTATCTGATTAAGAGGAAGAGAACGTCTTTTCCACGGTTGGAGTGACCTGTCACGGTCTAACTTAAGTTCAGAGTGGAACAGGGTTTTTGTCTCTTTGAAGGCCCGTCAGACCTGCTTCAGACAGTAATTCTTGTTATTCTACTTGAGCTGACCCCTACACCTGCCTTCCTCTCACAGACAGAAAACATGGCTGTTAGGTTAGCTGTTAACTCTAAATTGGGTTTAGGTAATGGATGGATAAAGTTTGGTCTTCATGGTGGAAGTAACAGCTGGTTGAACATAATAAAAACTGACCGTAGACAAATCAGCTGTAAATGTTGTGTAGGAACTAAACTGAGCTGGACCACATGGTGGATGATGAGCTGTGTCCTGTCCTCAGGTTAACAGCGTGTCGGTGCTGGGCCTGCAGCACTCAGATGTGGTGGCAGCCATCAAAGCTGGTGGAAGTGAGACCAAACTGTTAGTTGTCGACGCCGAGACCGAGGAGTTCTTCAAGAGGTGCAACGTCCTGCCCACAGAGGAGCACGTCAGCGGTAAGAGCAGCTCCGGTGTCACGTACTATCAGGCAGGATTAGTGGGTCAGTGGGTAACTTCTGGCTCAGAGTGGGATTACAAGTGTCAGAAAGCTGGTCTGGATTAGAAACACACATGTAAACACACCGCATCTTAATTCATCAGTGGCCTTAAAAATAAAATCCACCTGTGAAGAAGTGATCACTGCAGGAAACGTGATCACTCTCAAATCAACTTGCACATACTGTATTTGTGTGTGTGTGTGTGTGTGTGTGTGTGTGTGTGTGTGTGTGTGTGTGTGTGTGTGTGTGT